GACAGCGACTATCTTCGAGGGTTGAGAAAACAAAATAATAAATAAAGCTACAATAAATAAAAAATTGGTTACAAAATTTTAAAATACCAATTTATTTTGAAATATTGTTTTTGAAAATATCCAGATCTACATTATTGGGGTCTGTAGAAAAGTTATAAAATCTATTATTTACCCAACTAATCAATAAATTATAAATTATCAAAACTTTCAATATTTATAAAAAAAAAAAAAAATTAAATAAAAATATTTTTTTAACATGTTTAAATAAAGAAAAAAAAAAAAAATAAAATATCTTTTATTATTTTTTGTTATTTTATTTATTATTAAATATTTATTTCTTTAAATTACATAATCTAATTCATATCTTTGATAGTGGTTTTCATTTTCATCTTGGGTTCTTGGGTAAGATGGAGTTAAAGCGTCTTGAGAGCTGATATAAAGCATATTATAAAGTTTCCAATAAATGTTTCTAACTTTACGAGATGGATGGAAAAGACCTTGGAGGGTGTATTGAAGAACAATGTTTGGACCTAATGCGAAACGAAGACCTTCTACAGCCTCTAAGAAAGCATTGATAACATGAGGAGAGGTTTCAAAAACATTGGGCCAAACATAGTTGAATAAATGAGTGAGTGAATCTTCACAACCCAAACCATAAACACCTAATGCAATATGCTTGATTGCTGAACAAGCAGTTTGACGATGTACAGCATCTCTGTCCATAAGAGCATCTTCAAGCAATGTAGTGACAGCATAAATATAATCTTTACCCATTTCACCAATATATTCGAAAAGGAAAGATAATGATTTTAAAACACCATTTTGAACATTTAATTCGGGGATACGGTATTCATTAATAAGACCTGGTAATACGGTGAATGGAGCACAAGTTTCGGCAACAATAGCAATGGCAACAGTTGTACAAACACGATTTTGACGATCTTGAACCTTGAGATTATTTAAGAGAGTGGTTAATACCTCTTGTGGACCAATGGCCTTGGCAATATAACCAAATGTATTTACAGCAGCACGACGAATACCTTTTTTATGGGCTTTCAACATATCCAATAATTCAAAGCATATACGCATACCTTCACGATCAGAAACAAAATCTGAACCACGATCAGCAATACGACCAACCAAATCAATACAATTTTCTTGTACTTTTTCGTGACGATTCTTTAAGATTGGTGTTAAACGTGGTAATAAATCTTTGATTGGAGGTGTCATTTTGGTCATACCAATAACATTTACAATTGCCTTTAATGCACCTAAAATTGAACCCAATACTTCTGGATATTCTTCACCAAGGTATTCATAAAGGATTTGGCCCAAATGGGAAAGTAATTGCTCTTCACCACAATTCATCATAACTGGAGCAATACGTGAAATTAAATCGGCAGCTTGTTGTCTAACCTTGGCTGACTTGTTATTTAATCTCCATTTAATTGTACCTGCTATTTGTTGAAGATATGGCTTGATTCTAGTGTTCAATGCCAATACGACTGTACCAAAACCTTGTAACATAATTGAATTATCATCGGTGGTTTGTTCTTGGAATGCATAGAGGATACCATCGATAAGACGTTCTTCTAAACCTGTATTAATATCAGAGGCACCCAATTCACTAACAATTTTATCAATTGCTTCCATAACCATTTTTCTGTATGCTTCGGATTCATCTTTGAGGTCATCTACAATTCTTTCGATAATTTCACCACCACCAACTTTATTTGCAATTTCGACTGTAGTTTCGACGAGTAATTTATAGTTTCTTTTGTCCAATGCCATTCTTCTAACCCAAAATTGTTTGAAAAATTCTGGTATAATTTCTTCACGAACATAATCTGATTCGACACCTTCAGTTGATACACATTGTTTAACTACTTTTAATACAATCTTTTTCATTTCATCCTCATTGGTCTTGAATTCACGAATTAAAATGGTCATAACTTCTTTTGTGTAGTATGAAGCATAGGATGCTTCCATTAATGGAATGATGTAACCAATAGCTTTTAAAAATGCGGCTAAACCTTTTTCACGGTATTGACGGATACCATACCATAATGGTTTTAAAACACTATCGAAGGATTCGATACCGTATGGTGTGGCAGCTTCAGCTAATGCGGAAATAGCCAATGCGGTAATGGTACGAACTTTTGGCTGTTCATCGGTAAGACCATGTTCGACAATACTAACTAAATTTTTAAGATGTGGTAAAATAGCACAACCCATCAAGATAGCAATTTGTTGAACAATTTTAATACCGGTGTGACGAGCTTGCCATGATTTCTTACTCTTACAAACGGCTTTTAAAAATGGTAATAACGATGGGACACCGAGTGCTGAAGCTACAACTGCAAAAGCTCTAGCGGTAGTATTACGAATATCTTCTTCTGGACTATCGATATCAGGTCTCATTGTTGATGTCATATAGGCTAAGCCTGCAGCTTTTGAAAGATTTGAAATAATTTCTCTTGCTTCGATACGAGCATAATAATTTTGATCAATTAAAAATGGTTCTATAACTGAGAGAATTTTTCTGACATATGGACGAACCAAATCATCCAATTTATAGAGAATACGATCGATAACCTTTACTAAAAGATGTCTTTCTTGATCCTCTAATGATGTTGATGTAAAAAGTGGTAATATTTGATTGAAAAGTGCTGCAGGACCAAACTCAACTGCTTTATCTGTTAATTGTCTTAATGCTTGTTTACGCATTGGTGGTGTACCATTTTTAATTCTCAATAACAATTTCATAATTCTACGTTCTTTAACTTCTTCTGGTGAGAGATCCTCTTCATTTTCTTCTTTTAATATATTTTTAAAGTACTCTTGATCTTCAGGTTTAATAGTAATTCCATCTGGTGCTTCGATAATTCCATAGTCTTGTTGTCTAACTGTATTTTCATCTTGTATAAAAAATCCACCTGATGTACCTGCAACTCCTACTGGTGTTTGAGCAGTGAGTTTTTTAGATTGAACAACTGGAACATAATTTGGTGGTGCTTGTAAAATTTCATAACCCTCTGATGGTAAAAGTGAATCCAATTCCTCATCTGTCCATGGTTTATTTCTCTCTTCTATATCTTTTTGAATTTGTAATTGTGCTGGATCCATCATCATTAAATTTGCACCTGATTGCTGTTGAAGTTTTAAATTTGGTGTTACACCACCTGCCATCATTGAATTATATTGAGGTGTAACTCCGCCACTGTTCATTCCATATACTGGTGTTTGGGCTCCTGCCATTACATTATATTGTGGTGTTTGTGCTCCTAATGGTAATCCACCATGATTAACATTGACTGGTGTTTCATCCCATCTCGACCTTCTTTTTGGTGTTTCCTCAACTGTTGACTTCGCTATTGGGGTTTCATCCCATCTATTTCTTTTTGGTGTTGATTCTACTTTATTATTTGTATTATTTGATTTTTTTAATGATGAATCATCCCATTCTGACATTGTTTGATCTGATTCTATAAAAGTCATTATTTTATTATTATATAAAGTTTTTATTTAAATAAATATAGATAAAAATATAAATATAGATATAAATAGAAATATTAGTATCTTGCACCAAACGAATTTAAAAATTAAAATTTTCTTTTAAAAAACTTACCTGTCATTTTATTTGTATATATATTGCTTTTTTATATTTCTACACTATTGTTGAATATTATTAAATAAATCTGTTAATTTTATTGTATAATATTTATAATTATTAAAATTAAAACATATTGTAGAAAATTATGAAATGAAAATAAAAAAATAAAAGAAAATTTAAAAAAAATTTAAAAAAAAAAAAAAATTTAAAAATAATTAATTTTTTTTTTTTTTTTTTATTATATTTTATTTTTTTTTTTTTTTTTCGATTTTTTTATTTTAATTTTTAAAATTAATTTTAAAATGACATTTAAATTTTAATATAGTTTATTTTTTTTAATAAACTTTTTTTTTTTTAAAATATAAAAGGAGAAATAAAATAAAAAAATGGAAAAAACCCAAAATGAATCACCAAAACAAACAAATTCAAAAAAAAAAAAAATAATATCCTCAACTTTTTTTATAACCCATTTTATTTTTTTAATTATTTTATTTAAATATTATTATAATTTAACTTTTTTAGAAATTATTAGTCCTAGTAAAAACAATAATATAAATAATGATAGTATTTTTTTAAAAATTTGGTTAATAATATTTTTTTTATCCCAATTTACCTATTTCATTTTATTAAAAAAATCCCCAGGTTACATAAAATCAAAAACCATATATGGAGAAAATAATAATTTACAATTATACAATTGCAATAAATGTTCCATCATTAACTTACCTTTAAGAAGTAAACATTGCAAAGTTTGTAATAGATGTATTTTGAAATATGATCATCATTGTATATTTATAGATGGATGTATTGGTCTAAAAAATCAAAAATATTTTTTATTGTTTGTCTTTTTTGAAATGATTAACACAGGATTATCAATACTAGTTATTGTATTCAAATGTTTTTTATTCATGGAAATTAATAGCAAATATGATATATATAATATATTTACTTTTTGGATACTACCAAATATAATTATTATTCCTTTTTTTTTAATAGCAATAACTTTTTTCTCATTAACACTATATCTATTTTTGTTTCAAATTTATTTAATTTTAAATAATCAAACTTCTTGGTGAGTATTTTTTTTAATATTCTTTTTTAAAATATTACTAATTTGGTTTTTTTTTTACTTTTTAGGGAATTTAATAAATATAATAAAATAACCTATTTAAAATCATTAAATGGAACCAACCCTTTTAATATTGGAATGTGGAATAATTTAATGTTTTTTTTTAAACAATAGAGGTAATAGGAAAAACGAAAAAAATAAAATAGGAAATAAATAAACCGTTTTATTAAACAATGAAATTATAATAAATTTTTTTTTTTTATTTTAAATTAATTTTTTTTTTTTTAAATTATTTTTTATTTTAAAATTTTTTTTTATTTTTTTTTATTTGAACTTATTTTTTTTATACACACTATATAATATAACTAATGTACAATAATAATGAATAATCCAAATATTAATAACGAAAATGACAATTATAGTAATAACGAAATAAATAATAATAATTTTTTTTATAATATTAATAATGTTGTAGATTTAAATAGTAAACCCTCAAAAACAGTATTATTCGAAAAGAAACTGGCATACACAATATTTTGTTTAATACATTTTTTAATATATTGCCTTATTATCACCAGAAAAGGAACAGTTTTAGATCAAGCTTTTATAGATAAAGACTATTTCTATTTAATATGGACTCATTGTGTTTTCTTTTCAGCAATTATAACATATTTTATAATATTAAATAAATCACCAGGTTTTGTAAAATTAGATAACAATAGCTCTAGTATAAATAATATCAATGATAATAGTGAAAATACATTTGTCTTTGATGAAGGGCAAAACTGTTTTCCAGGGTATCCTCAACCAAAATTAGTACCCCCACAACCTCAACAAATGGAACAACAACAACAACAACAACAACAACAACATGCAAATATTAGAAAAGTTAAAAAAAGAAATAGCAGCGAATTAATAATATCAGATAACAGCGATGAAAACAATAAAAATAATAGTTTAGACAGTATCAGTACTTATAATAATAATAATAATAATGAAGAAGGCCTAGAATTAAACGAAATCAACAAACCATTATTATCTATGGAAAATGATACCATCAGTGATACTAACAATAGTAGTAATAACAACAATAATGAAATCGATAATTTAAAGCCATTTTATTATTGTAAAAAATGTACAGTTAATATACCGTTAAGAACAAAACATTGCGCAAAATGTAATAGATGTGTTTTAAAATATGATCACCACTGCGTTTTTATAGGAGGATGTGTGGGATTACACAACCACAAGTACTTTTTATTATTTCTAGCAATGGAAGCAATTTTACTTTCGCTTGGTATTAGAATTATAGTGACAGCATACCTATGGGAAAACACTGTTAAACAATGGTTTTGGACAAATTGTTATTTAATTCCACCAACTTTATTAATGGTCGGTGGTTTTTGTTTACCATTCTTTTTATTTTTATTCCACAGCTTTTTAATTTTAACAAACAAAACCTCATGGTAAGTGTTAATACAATCAATTGTTTTCAATTAGCTCGCTAACTAATTTTAAACTATTGTTATATTTTATAGGGAATTCAATAAATATCAAAGAATTACATATCTTAAGCAATATTCGAAATTTAGCATTAATCCATTTGAAAAAGGAACATGGAGACATTTTACAACATTTATAAAGGGTACAGAAAAGCCATCAGATTGGAAACTTTTATCAAAAATAGAAGTTGATCATATAAGAAAAAAAAGGGAAAATACATTTAATATTTGGAATAATAAATATTATTCATGTTGTTAAAACATTACAATAAAAAATAAACTATATTTTTTTTATGGTACAATTATTATATTTATTTTTTTTTTTTTTTTTTTTTTTTTTTTTTTAAATATTAGATTGGTTGTATTTTAAATAATTGTGATTTTTGAATAATTATTATTTATTATTAGTATGACAGGAATTATAACTATAATTTCCAACAACTATTTTCGTAATTAAATGGATTATATTTTTTATTGTTAAATTTTAAAATTACTTGAATAATATTTAACATCATTATCATCATCTTTTTGTAATTTTGAAATTGAATCAACAATCTTTTGATTATTTTTGAAATTTTCTAAAAAAAAAAAAAGATTAAAATTAATATGAATTTTTTTTTTAAAAATATATATTTATATGTATATATTTGCTTACCATTTGAAATAATTTTTGTTGAAAGAATTTCTGCAGTTACTAATCTAACATTTGGTACTGGGTCATTTACTAAATTTAAAAGAATTGGAAGGAAGTTTTCTTCAAAGTAACTAGTTTCTAATTGATCAATAAGGAAACCACATATCTTGGTGAAAACCTGTCTATTTGAATATGATAAATCGGTACCTAAATCTTTAATACTATTGATTGTAGAATCTTTTAGTTGATTAATATCTTCTTCTGTTGGTTGTTTTTCTTCATTTTTTGGTGATGATTCATTGCTGCCACTATTATTGTTATTGTTGTTGCAAATTAAAAATTCGTTATTGCTGGTATTTAAAATTTTTAAAATTAAATGACCAACACTTGAAGCTGCATAGGTTCTAACTTTGGCGACTGGATCATTTAATAAAGTTATAAGAATTGGTGCTAATTGAGTTAAATTCGTTTTAAGATTAAATAAACTGCACATTTCACCTATTTGTCTAAAGAAAAAAAAAGACATTAATATAAAATTTTTTTTATTTTAAAATATTGATCATTTGCTTTAAAACTTACTTTGATATTAATTTTCTGAATCTCCATTTGTTTGGATCATTAACAAAAACTTGAATAGTGGCAATATAGGAGTCTCTTTGGGTAGATTCTAATGATTTAAGGAATTGACCAAAGTTTCTAATAACACCTACTCTGACCTCATCTAAATCTTGAAGGAATAAATTAAAACATGGTAATAATGAGGCTTTGGTTTCAGCAGGTCCTAAAATACATGCAATTTCATGAATTGAATGTGAAAGAGTTCTTCTGACTTTCCACTAAAATAATAAAAATATGTTAACATTAAATAAATATTTATAAAGTAATTATAGTCATAAGTAATTCTTACATTTGTATCTTTAACTAATGATAAATAAGTATCTTTTAATTCAGACCATCTTGAAGCACCAACAGTGTAAAGTACAGCGGGGAAATTAAATGCACAATGGGTGACTAAATCGCTGTCTGGGAATTTAATACTTGATGGATTGATCATATCAGTATAATATTGTAAAAGTTTTGGAGTTATTTGTGATCCTTCAAATGTTGCAATAAATGGTCCTAAATTTTGAAAAGCTGTATTATTAACCCATCTTGATGGCTAAATAAAAGAAATAATTAATATTATTATTATTTAATTTAAAACTTTAAATTTTTAAAATTACTTACATCTTCACTAACAAACTCTTCAAAAATTGGAATTAATTTAGAATATCTTTCAATTGGTGAAATATTTTTACTAACTGAAATTAAAACTTCAGCACATCCTTTTCTAACTGCCCACATTTCATCTTTAGTTAATTGAATATAAATTGGTAACTATATTATAATATAGAAGAAGGTTAATATTAATGTTGTTGTTTTTTATTGTAAATGATAATAATAATAATAATATTTACTAATAATTCGGTTGTATCTTTTTCACCAATGGTTTCACAAATGTTACCTAAATTTAATGCAATTGCTTTTCTAACTCTGAATGATAAATCATTTGCTAATTTAACAATAAATGGTAAGAAAATATTTTTGGTTAATTCCTCTCCAATAATTGGTGCTAAATTATGGCATAACTAAAGTGTAATAATGATAACATTAATATTAAATTAAAATAAGATATTTTCACAAACTATAATAATATGTATACATTACATTTGCAGCTTGGACTCTATGTTCTTCATCGGTTGAATCATTTACTAAAGATTTAATGAATGGAATTAAATGAACCTCTAAATCTTGATGTTTAATTAACTTTGCCATTTCTTGAAGTGATTCAACAGCTGACATTCTAACTTGTGGGTTTCTATCGGTTGTTAATTGTGCTACTATTGGTAGTAATACTTTTAATACTTTTTGATATCCATCTTCATCCCCAAATTCAATATAACATTCCCCAATAAGTGGTATTTGTTCAACCAATGCTTGTCTAATAACTGGTTCATGATCATTTACAACATCTCCTACAAATCTTAATAAACTTTCCCTTGCTTGTTCGAATGAAATTCTAATAAAATCTGAAAATTCTCTGACCACATATAATCTTTTTTTTTTTGTTTTTAATTATTAAATTAATAAAAATGATTATAATATATTATAAAAACTAATTATATTATTTCCTTTATTATTATCTTTTATTATTCTCTATATATTATTTTATTATTAAAAAATAATTATCTATAATTTACCTGTGGAGAACTGATTCGCTGTGAATATATTTTTGAATTTTTTCTACAAGTGGTAAATTATCATCTATAATATAATCGTTTCCATTTGACTCTTCTATTTACATTTAAAAAGGCTATTGTTAGTATCCAACGAAGGAAAAAATTTTAGATCACAAAAAAACAAAGTGATCACTATTGCTATTTGTGGTCATATTCTAATTTAAATTTAAGATATTTACCAACAAATTCGTATGAGTTTTCAGCATCTGATAATCCAATAAAATCAGACATTATATATATCTATATTAAAAAATTTATATTGTTACAAAAACAAAATTAATAGTTAATTAAAAAAAAAAAAAAATTTTAAAAAATTTTTAAATAAAAAAAAAAAAAATTTTAAAAAAATTTTTTGAAAAATTTTTAAAAAAAATTAAAAAATGTGTATTTTTTTTTATTATTATAACTTTATATATTCTCTTATTTCATTTAATTTATTATATTTTTTAATAGTTCCTTTCAATTCAAAAAAGGAAATTGATTTTCTTTTTTTTTTTTTTTTTTTTTAAAACTCAATAATAATAATTAATTTTTAATATAATTTTTTTTTTTCAATTTTTTTAAATTAATTTTTATGTTTTTAGATATTATAAATAATGCGTTTTTAAAATGGCACAGTTTGGTCAACTTAGTGTTTTTTATGTGTGCAATGACACATTGCACTTTTGGAGTAAAATAAACACTTCAAAATAATTAATAAATAATCAAAATAAAAAAAATGATTAAAAAGAAATTTAAAATTATGTTTTAGATATTGGAATAATATTTTTAGTTGGATTATTTAGCTATCTAAAATAAAAATAACAGATATTTAGCACTTTATATTTAAAAGATTCAGCAATATAATTAAATAAATAAGAGACAGATTATTAAAAATAATAAATAAGATAAAAGTAAAAATGATGACTTGTTTGATTATGTTAGGTGAATCGAAATTTTTTTATCATTAAAAGGTATTGGAATAGATTGTTTAATGGTAATAGAAATAATGGTAATAATAGAAGAATAGCAACAAATAATGTTATAATAAAAGTAATCATAATAAATAGTTATAAAAATAATAACTACATTACATTTAGGTTTTAGGGTATATAAAAATAGATTATCAAAATTAATTAAATTAATCAAAAATTAAAATTATATAAAAAAAAATATTTAAATAAAAAATAGTTTATTATACATAATTGAAAAAACTTTATAAAAAGAATTTATCTTAAATTTCTTTTTTTATTTCTAGGGAATATAATCTATTATTTATATTATCTATTATATTATCTATTATATTATTCTATTGATATCTATTAAAAGAATTATAATTATAATCTTTTATAATTATAATTCCTATCTATATTATTTTTTTTTTTATTATTTTTTTTTTTTATTTTTTTTTTTCTGCAAGTGTCGCTGGAATAGTTAATAAATCCGCATATAATACAATGGAATTCTATTAAAAAAAATTAGTATGAGTTATAAAACAAAAATTAAAAAGTATCTTTTAAAGTAAATAAACTTACTATTTGGGGCGACTTCACTTGGCATTTTTGCTACACAGTTTCCGCAATTTTCGAAATAAAGTAAATTTGGGTCGGAAACTAAATAATAATACATTTTTTTTAACCTCCATTTTATAATAATAATATAAATGAATCGTAGTTGTTGTTGCTGTTGTTGTTGTTGTTGTTGTTGTTGTTGTTTTTTGGTTGGTCGTTTTTGAGTTTGTTGTGGGCGTTTGTTGTGGGG